GTTAGAAATTTTTTCGACTTCCCTGGGCATATAGAGAATCATTGTGCTTGCCACACAATATACAAATTCATGCATTGGTATTGGCATCGAAAGCTCTCAATTAATAACTGTGGAAGTGCATTTAGAACACTAAGTTGAGAGCACGCAATAAGCTAATATGTGCTAAGCAATAAGCTTGAAATGCGAACAAGAAGAAGAAGTCATCTGCAAAAATTGAGTTCGTATTGCTGTGAAGCATCATTCTATTTCAAATTATCTTTTCAAAAAGTTTACTTATTGAAGAAAGCAAACTTATTGGACGGTATCTAGAAGCTTCAGCTTGATTTTTATCCGGCTTCAAAATTGGAATAACTTAAGCATTTTTCCATTTATCAGGAAAGTATGCCAAATGGAAACATCTGTTAAATAATTTTACCAAGAAAGACAAGGTACTCTCTGGGAGTTTTTTTGATGAGGATATAGAAAATTCCATCATCACCTGAAATTATGGGAGCAAGTTTCTGAGCTTTTTCCAAATTTGTGATCAAAATTTTACCACCTTCTTAAGTGCTGAAATAGGCTTTTCAGTTTTTTTTCAAAATTTTTGTGAGTTTCCAAAAGAGGTTGGAACTCGGGTCTAATTTAGAAACATTATTTTCAAAAGTGTTATTCCTCAGGGCAGATAATCGCTTTTTAATTTGTTTTTGCAAATCCCGCCAGATAACTTTCATGGTAGGATCGCGTGTTGTTTGATATTGTCTCGTACGGACATTTTTAAGACGAATCAAGAGTTGAAGATCGTCATCTATTATAATTGAATCGAATTTAACCTCGCATTTTGGTACTGAGGCAGCTCTTGCTTCAATTATAGAAGTAGTCAGAGATTCAAGAGCATAATTAATTTCATCTTTGGTTTGCAAAGAATGTTTGGATCGAAGTTATATTCCATAAATGTTCGATACTGCTCCCAATCAGCTCTATGGTAATTGAAAGTAGAGCTGTTGGGATTACAAATTATTTCTTGGGATATTTCAAAAGTTACTGGAAGGTGATCAGAACCGAAGTCAGCATGGGTAACCAATTGGCTACAAAGTTGACATGAATCAGTTAAGACCATATCAATAGTTGAGGGATTTTTTGCTGAAGAAAAGCATGTTGGGCTGTTTGGATATTTAATAATGTAATAACCTGCAGAACAATCATCAAACAGAATATTATTATTGGAATTGCTTTGAGCATTATTCCATGAGCGGTGTTTTGCATTAAAATCACCAATTATGAAGAATTTAGACCTATGACGGGTAAGTTTCTGAAGGTCACCCTTGAGAAAATTCTTTTGCTGGCCTACGCATTGGAATGGTAAATAGGCAGCTATAAACTTAAGTTGTCCAAATTTTGTTTCAATAGAAACTCCCAAAGTTTCAAAAACTTTGGGTTCAAATGAAGGAAGAATTTTATGTTTGATTCGTCTATGAACAATGATGGCAACGCCACCACAGGGTCCATCAAGACGATCATTTCTATAAAAGAAGAAAACTGTGTCCCTCTTAACCTTATGGTCAGGTTTAAGGAACTTTTCAGTTATAACGGCAATATGCACGTTACGAACTCTCAAAAAGTTAAATAACTCGTCTTCACCGAGTATTCACATTTAAAATATTTAATGATTTAACATCCATTACTGAATTTCAAAGTCATGACAATATTGTTCGCAAATTTTACTCCAGTTTGAATAGCATCAAACATGGAGTTAGATTTAAGCATATCAGAAATCATGTCAATAATGATTTCTGTAAAAATTCCATTTTAGGAGCATAATGCTTACTAAGTCAAAATTATCAAAATTTCCGTTAGAATTACTTTGGTTAGTATTTTGATTTCTACCCGCTGCAATAGCAGCATAGGTAGCTCCATTAACTCGCTGAACATTGTTAGCAGCGAGGGGAGTAGGTACAGATGAAAAATTTGAAGCAGGGGTGATATTTGTACCTACGGGTACGAATGTAGAATTTGTTCCTCGCTGACCGTTGTTAACAGCAGAGGAATTTGTACCTGGTCGGAAACGTGGAGCGTTTCTTACCTGTCGGTTAGAACGAGATTGTAGGATCGCTTTGCGAGTCTTACATTCCCAAAAATTGGATTTGTGGTTTTCACCACAATTTGAACATTTAAATTTCTTAGGATCTTCCTTCACAGGACAGTCGTCCTTTGCGTGAGAGGAATCACCACAATTCATGCATTTACCTGGCATGTAGCAATTTTTAGTTCCGTGACCCCATCCCTGGCACTTACGGCACTGAGTGAGGTTTTGGAAATTTCCTCCAGTCTTCCTGAAGTGTTCCCACTTCACTCGGACATGGAGCATAAGGCTAGCATTTTCTAAGGCCTTAAGGTTGTTTAGTTCACTAGACTTGAAGTGAACTAAATGAAAATCATTAGAAATCCCGTTGCGATAATCGCCACGACGGGATTTTATTTTGATTTTGGTTACTTGGAGTGGCACAACTCCAAGTAATTTTGCCAGTTCATCTTTGATCTGATCCAGGGATTCACCACTGGGCAGTCCTTTCATGACAACCTTGAACACACGTTCAGTTTTGGTGTCGTAAGCAGCGTTGCCAGTATTCCAGATTTTAGTCGTCTTGCCAGATAGACAGACAGACCTCGTATATTTCCAGATTTTTTTTAATATGTTCCAGATTTTCCCAGATTTTTTAATTTGCTCTTTCCTCTAATAAAAAAAAATAAAAAGCCAAATTTGGTACTTTAATTATTAACAACATTGGACATTATTGGAATTTTAAAGTAATTCTGAAAATAGTTCACAGTTAAGTGTGAGGCGAATTCTTTGTGAAATGAAAGGAGAATTTCAAGCTACTTCTGAGTAGAATTACATCCATCTTTGTGGGTTTCAGGGTCGTGCGGCGTCACCCATCATTTAGGCGTATTGTGAGTGCCACGAAGTGAGGGTTCGATTGACGCTCCAGCCGGGGCAAATTATGGCAACCTCAAAATTTGCCTACTGTTCTAATGGTAATGGGTGTGGCGTTTTTTTTTTCTTTATTTGAGAGATTTTTAGCCATAGGCTAGTTCATCTCTTAGGGGTGTGGTGTGTTTTCCGTTGTTTAATGTTAAATATTCAGTCTGTGCAACCTCTGGTTGAAGACGGTATCAATTGTCTTGTCAACTCTGATGACAATTGCATGGAGATTTTGTCAATAAAGGAAATACAATCCGGAAAATAAATCATAGAAAATTCTTATCATGAAACTTAAAGAGTATGCTGATACGAATCGCGAGAATAATTTCAATGGAATTCTGTCAAATGTTTCTATGGAGATTAATTTTACTAAAAATTTAAGTGCAATTTCTGGGAGACTTTCAAAACCATTTTGGCAAAGTACTTGAGTACTTGGGTAATACTGAAAAGGATTTCAAACCAATTCTAACCTTACCTACATAGCAGTTTAAAGGGAATTATCGGATAAGCCTGAGAAGAGTGTGACGGTCATTCAGAAGAGTGTACCAAGAAATTGTTAAGAATATTTTAAGTATTTCATAGAGAAAAATGGACACTAAATTGAGCCAATTCTTGGGAATTATTACCAATTTGAGGGAGTTGTGGGATTGAAGAGTGATTTATAAGAGATTTCAAGAGGTAATGATAAGAACTCTTAGAATGTTACTGGAAAAGTTTAGATATTTTCAAGATTATTTTAGGGGAATATAGAAAAGAAATATGATGGAATTCTAGGATGATTCAAATTGAACAAAAAAAAAAGGCCAATATATCTTGTAATGAGTTCCAAGTAAATTCAGACTACCAAAACATTTCATGGTCTGGGACGCAGGAAAAATATAAATTCCGGAATTTAGAATCATTGCAAGATCCTGAGACTTCAAAAATGAAACTATCAGACTTTCATTTTAGTAATATAATAAAATTATTCTTTGGCATAATGGTCATGCAAATAGTGGAGTTACCCGTAGTTTAGGTAAACTGTGTGTGAGTTCCACGATGTTAGGTTTTGATTCCCACTTCAGCCCGGTGAATTTAGCTTCAACATAAAATTGCCTACTGGTCTGTTGGGTGTTGTGGGTTGTATGCTGTCAAGAATTAAACTGTAAATCTGATCAACCTCAGAGTAATATTAGAATTATTTAGAACTAATAAAATCTTTAAATTCTGGTACTGCATCAAATAGTAAGGACTACATCGACTATTAGTTCAAAAAATCCATCCCATCAAATTTCATTGATTCTTTGCTTCTCATTCTTTTTTAAAAAGTTACAGTTTAAAAAACAATTCTAACCATATTTTCTGCTGTTTTTTACCCACATTTATCTCAATTTTTGAAATGCTGGTTAATGGATGTAATTTTTTGGAGCATTCCAGATTTTTCCAGATTTTATATTTTACCTGTTCCAGATTTTTCTGAAAATGACCTGGCAACGCTGGTCGCAAGTAAAAAAAATTGTGCTGCTTCTCAGTAAGATACTTGAGAAGACATTTAAATCCGTCCAAGGTTTCAGCCAATACACGGCATTCACCCCGACGTCGCATTTGTAGTGAAAACTTAACTTTCACGAAGTTCAAAAGTTCCATGCGAGAGCATGGAAATCGGAAGTGGCTATCACGATAGGGCAAATCTTTTCCTTCTCGGCATTAAGCCGGGAAAGTTTACTAGATTTTTTTTTTGGATGATGGATCATTCTCATCATCCGTGAGCAAATCAAATTGGATCAAGAGTTTGCCCATTTCTTTTGAGCTTAGGCGCCTGGGGGCAGTAAATTTTTATCCAAATCGATTTCCAAGCAGATTACTATAAGAATTTGAAGGATCGAAGAGGAATTTTCCAAATCGATATCCAAGAAGGATTACCTCGGGTAGGGTCCAAACAAGGATCGAAGAGGAATAAGAGCTGAACAAGGTAGAAATTTTACATGTTGAACACTGAAAAGTGCTGTTTAAATTTGTTGTAGCTTTAGGTAGTATATACTACTGAATATAGGATACTTACATCAACAAAACCTCACACTGCTTTTTCGAGGTGAATACCTGTCCCGGATATCCTTGAAACTTCCATGCATCCAACTCTTTCTTCGTCTTCATCGGTACATCAAACAAACAGTCAGCCCATCTAAAACAAATTCAAAAATTAACCGATTGAACCATTTCGAAAACTTCAAAATTCACTTACGCCAATTCGCGAATAGCTGCCGCACTGCAACTTGACCATATGGTTTCACCCTGCGTTCCCCTCGAGGGAGACATAACGTATCCATCCTTTGCGCATATGTTGCCCGCCGAGTCATGGTGCATTCCTAAACTGAAGAAAACATCTTTCAATACACCCAAAACGGAAGGAACAATGACGAAAGCAAACCTGTGCCCAATTTCGTGCGCTGCCACATAGACGGACGTGAATCCAGCTGACGGGTACGGTTTCCCGAAAACACTTGTCGTACCGAATTCCGCTATGACGCAGGCATACTTCCCCAAACAGACGCCACCCACCGTTGCCAGGCCCATTGTCACACCATTTCTCCTTCCATTCTCGATCGCATAGAAATCCAGACCGGAAACGTACAACGCCAAATCCCAATGATTAGCATCGTTGTCGTCGTCTTTATTCAGTTTATTTTGATACAAGCAGAATGAATCCAGCAGAGATTCTCTTTCTCCTCTGTAGTGGGGCATATCGTTCGGTTGCCGTTTCATTATTTCCAAATAAACCACGGTGATGTCGACTGGGTTCCCAAGCGAAGGATGGTGGTAGAGAGCTTGAATTGCATTAACGTACGCCAGGATAAAGTCTTTCAGTTTGAGATCATCGCTGTCGAAGTGGGGAGCGAATATTCGGTATGCGGCTTCATCGAAGAACAGTCCCAGCTCGATTGTCAGCCTGCGCAGCCGTGACGTTCCAGCGGGGCTTGGTTCGTTGAGATCTTCGAGTTCTTCGAGATCCTCTAGGGTGTAGTTTTTCTGCTCCAGAGTATCCCCGAGCAGATGAATGTCGGACCGGTTGGCAATGCTCAGCAGGTTTTGGCGGTTCAGTAGATCATCCGCATAGATAACATCCTTCAGGGATGTTTTCTTGACAAGGTGAAGGTTTTGCGATTCCACAATAAAATGACTGAATAGCGGAATCAGATTCCGAAGGCGACTGTTTAGTGGTTGAATTTCCAGGGTTTGGTTCGGGAGGAACACGATACCGTGCTAGGAAATGGTGATGATGTTGATAAGATATTAATTTCAGGTAGTTACCGATTTCTGAATTTGGTACGAAAGGTATTATTATATGGGTCTTCCTTTTGTGAAGTTTTCATTTGATTTGAACAGCAAATTTTCAAAAGCAACCAATATTCCCATAAAAATTGCTTGAAATACTCACAAAATTTTGAAAATCACAACTTGTAACTGCTGCAGATGACTCATGATCAACATGCAAGTAGTGGCAATCATTCGTTGAACGATGGAGATATTCTTCCGAGCTTCCATTCTCGGTTCGGGTCACAAATTTGGTTTTTCTAGTCACTAGATTTGTTCGCGAACGCAAATTTAAGCTGAATGTGTTGCCTTGAAATGGGATCTTTAGCACTGCACTTTGCTTTCCACTAATTGTATTGCGATTTTCTGACTGGAACAACGGCTCACTACTTGGGGAGAATAATTCAAATAGAGGTAACTCTTCACGATGGTCACTTCCAAAGTAATAGCTCAGTTCATGCTCGTTCATCAAATTCGGTAAATCATTTAATTCCAATGATTTCGCAAGTCTCACGGCTCCATTCAGTACCAGTATCGATAGTAACAAATTCTTAATCACAGACATGTTCAAAACTTTCCTGTGTCACATTGCTAGAACTGGAACTCACACCTTCTCATTTTCTCGAACAACGATCTACCGCTGATAAATTCCGAACCGAAACTGTCCCCGGCCGGTAAAAGTTCCGACAGTTTTATACTTTCGCCGACGCAGTCGATTTATGGACACGGACAGGTTGTTTACCGTCATGCATCTCCAAATGTGACATTACCACAAACCAGTAGCAAAACGCACGCCGCACATTCCGCCGATATGATATTGTAAATTTTGTCTTCTTTCGCTCTGCTCTGCCTCGCCATTATTGCAAATTTGAACGATCCGTCCATGCGACGTCGATCGTAAAGAATGGGGCAATATTTATTTTACGATTGTTTCTACAAGTGGCTTTCAGATAATCTGGGATGCGGGTCGGGAGCCTTCGAGTCAGAACAACACGACGGATACCTACCGAAGAGGTTGGACCAGAATCGAAACGAGAGCAAAGCGGCCCCTGGGCTGAATTAATTAAACACTGATGATGATTGCAGGCGAGTTACCGTTGCGGGTTTTGTCACACAGGCACAATAAAGTTTAGTGGGTCAGTCATTTGCAGCTTTTTGTCTTTGTGTTCCTGCGTGGGTTAAGAACTGGCGATATTAAAATGCGTGTTGGATGTTCTGCGGGGTGAACGTTTTGGGTTATCTGCAAAACGTTATTCGTATTGTATTCTGCATTTGAAACTGGACCCCTCAAAACTGCGGAATCGAGAATAAAAGTGCGCTATTTGTTTTATTGTCTTGGTGTTTTCTGTGGACTTATTCCTTATGAACCAATGAATAATGTATGCAATGCTCAATACTATTTTTAATTTTTATTATAAACAAAGCTGATATAGTTTTCAAATGTGAAACATTTTAACGGTAAATGAATTTATACATTTTTGTTTTTCTCACTGATATTTTAAATCCAGCTAAAAACTATATTTGTTGAAGCTTGTATTGAATTATATCAATATCAATTCCATATATGTGCTTAATTGAAGTCTGATAACATCAATGTAGGAACGGTATTTTGAGTTGTCTTAAAATTGTGCTGGGTTGTGCTCTTGCCCTAGAGCACAAGCTATTTTTATTTTGCAGAATGAAAATTTTCGCATTAAACCTGCATAAGATGATTTTCTAGCCGCATGGATTTGGAAAAATAAACTGTATTTGAAAATTTAGCAAACATAAAAATAACAACATTATTTAAAATACCTTCCTTCGACCGCATTGCAGAATCTGTTCATGCAGTTAAACAGTACAAATTACAGTGTATCTTAAAATTGAGCGTACACCTGAATGGGCATTTTTTGAAAAACTGTGAGTAGAGAGATTTTTGAAATCTTGGATAGTGGTTGAACAACTATTTATTGATTTATCAGTATAGCTTTGGACTTTGTTGGTAGAGTATGTATGAAGTTTGAGGAATTTAAGTAAAATGGTCCATTTTCAACTTTTTACATAGTATGCGGATTTTAGTAACAATTAGCGGCATTTTAAAGATCTTCCCTGCGCTTTGGTCAGAGAGCGTATAGGGCATCGTTGTGCCAGATTGGTCGAGGCACATTTCGAGTATGAGAAGGTGGTTACAGTTTGCTCAAAAGTGCCTGAGCAAAATGCAAGTACTTTCAATGATTACCCGTAGTTGCAATACCCAAGCAGCAACTTTGACTTTGTAAGAGTTGTTTACACCAGTATTTAAACTTAAAGAAGGTTTTGAAACTTTCATAAGGTGTACAATGCTGTTTGGGTAGTGAAGATATAATTTTGAACTAAAATAGGATACAGTCAAAACATTGAGAAACATAACGCATAATTTTTTTAAAAAATGCCTGAATTTGCAACCGATGAACCATTCTGATGGCCTATGGGTACCCAAGTAACCATATAGTCGCAATAAAGCTTTGTATATACTCACTTTGCGATAGTATGGTTAGTTGGGGAATCCGATGAAAATAATCACTTCTTGAAACTAATCCCGGTTGTATGTATTTCTTTCTTTCTTTCTTTTGCAATTTGCATATAACACCGACGGAGTGCACATTCCAAGTGCTGGGTGACCTAAAGATGACCAGTGACATGGGACGCGAATGTCCTCCCAGAAAAGCAGGGGAATACAATAAAAGTTGTTTTCGTTGAAGGATGTATCACAACAAAGGTAATTTAGATGCATAAAACTAATTTACATTTATGGGCTGCTGACCTCTACAAACATATAAATAAAAATAAAAAAGATAATAATAATAATACTAATAATAAACATTTAAAGGTAAAATAACAATCAAATAAATTAACGACCTTTTCAAATACAAACATCCCTAATAAAAAGCGAAGTCGCTCCGGATACAATTCATAAACTGGCAGGTTCAAGATCATTTGTGCTCCGGTTTTCTATAGAAGGATGAATTGAAAAGAGACAAACAAAAATGATAAAATAATATTAACATAAAAATAAACAAATTAAAGACTAAATACGCAATCCAAGTAAACCCGATAGTCATTTCAACGTAGCCGGCTATGTACCATTTTTATTAGATCAGCAGACAGTCACACCAGGCAACATCATCATAATTGGTCACCAAAATTACACTGGCGACCAGGCTCAATGCCCCCTCCAGCATGACACAATAACAATAACAATAATTAGCGGCATTTTAAAGATCTTTATTATGATTACAGAGAAGCAAAATTTTATTATGTTTGGCTCATTGCATTTCAAGAAAATGTGTTTTTAGGAAATCTAGTTAATCTTAAATAGCTCTATCTTCTTACAACTTATCCAAATAAGCCCTACTGTACCGATAACTAATAAATGGTTGATGAGCCAGCAGCCAAAAATTTAGAAATCTATATTTTTAAGATGTTCTCGTACAGCTGTTTTTCTGAAATGTACGGGCAGCTGAATGCTCAATTTTGAGATCCACTGTATGTATTCTTTTTATCCAATGTGTAAACAAATCTTACATTTCCCCAATTGGTGCACTTACGTTTGAAGTTCATGCCATTTGTTTTGTGTGCCTGTATCGAAAAATCTGTATCCTCACAGACCCCAAATTACACAATAAATTTAACTAACATAACGTCAACATAAGCATCAGCACAGTCACTTTTAATGTTAAACAGAATACTAATTGTGCATCTTTCATCATAGCGATGTTTGAATGTAACATTCAAATTGACGACAAACTTGCTGTTTCTGAAAGAATACAAAAACGAATAGTTTCATGTTAACGTGTCTGATATTCCTTGACACGGGGTTTATATGAGAATCTTCCTGCACAATTCTGAAAGGGACATAAAAAAGGTATTTAAATAATGAATTAATACAAAATTAGCCTAATGCAAATATTAATTTATTGTAATGCCAGACATCACTGAAAAGATCGAAAAAACAAGGAATGAACAAAAAAAAAACTCATATAGGGAAGAGCGCTACTTCGTCGTAATCGCCCATTTTCGTTCTATCGAGCAGAAATCATCAATAATATCAATGATTTCACCATGCACAAAACAATAATACGTTTGTTCCGATGCGTTAGTTCATTAGCTACGACATAAATCCTATTAGAGCGCATTGTATGCATATTTACGCTCATTGTTCTCAAAACAAAAGAAGCGCTCCTAGCTCATCCCCTTTTTCTCCGTTTATCCGTAGGACGAAGAAAATCTAATGGCGTTTCAATGCGTTTGGACGGAATTGAAACGCGTAGGACGAATTTAGAAGCAAGAAGCAGTGTTAGATTTTTAATAACATCTCAACATTGTTTGACTCTTTATCAAATCCAACGGTACGTATGGAAAGGTGGATAAATTTAAAAGTTATCTTTGATGAAAACATTCCATGTTTTGTTCAAACGCTTTCCAAAAATCGTGGTAAAGTGCGGGATGTCCTTAGTAGGACGGGAATTAGATCAAAAATCCTAGTAATATATTGATAAATCTATATATATAAAAATGAATTTCTGTCTGTCTGTCTGACCCTTATAGACTCGGAAACAAATGAACCGATCGGCGTGAAAATTTGTATGCAGGGATTTTTGGTGCCGGGAAAGGTTCTTATGATGGTTTGAGATCCCTCCCCCTTCTGTAAGGAGGGGCTCCCATACAAACGAAACAGAAATTTATGCATAACTCGAGAACTAACCAATCAAATGGAACCAAATTTGGCATGTGGAGGTTATAGGTGGTAGCCCCTTAGATAACTTAGGGGAAGGAACTACGTACAATATACATTTTTTTTAATTGGTGCATAAACTCCAGCTAATATTGAATCTCGAGCAAGGCCGGACACTCTCAGCTAGTTATAAACAAAATAAAATGGTGTAGTTTTAGGATAAAGTGCAGAGCAAGTGACGATTTAGATTTTTTTAAAATTCTTTTAGCTAATTTTTTAAAATTTTTTTGTAATATTTGAAGGAAAGATGACAGACATTAACAATATCTCTTTTAGAGATTTTCACGTCTGATTTTATTGGTTCGATATGTGAGAGCGTGTTAGTATAAATCTGAGGAAAATACATAACAAATCGCTGTCAAACTCATTTTGACAGAACAAATTTCATATATATTTTAGGTTAACCAGAGGAAAATAATAAACAGCTTTACACAGTGATGCACCCTCTAGTGTGCGTGCGCTACCCAACTAATAATTTTCGCAATGTAAACGCTTTACTCATTTCATTTATACAAGCTGTATTCAAATGTTATACGATATGAGGAAACCTTTACTCAACCTCTATATACGCAAATCTGGCGAACTTAGTCAGCTACTTATGGCTGTGTTGTGACAAGCTCTTATTGTACATCTATTTACACTTTTATACAGCTGTTATCCTGCTGTTTAGTTGTGTTTAAACTTGAAAGGCGCTAACTTAACCTTTACCCGATTATCCAATAATCACTACACAGCTTTCTCTTGACGCCAGGTTAAATATTGTTTACGCTTTTTTTTTTTGTTGGGGGAATTTACCATGTTTATTTTATCGCGAATCAAATTAATCGAAATTAGTTTATAACCAGTTAACACTACCAAATTATTTACACTGTTCCGGGATCTGGAATCGACCTCGAGACGACCGCAATGGCGAACCTTGATACTACCTCGGATACTAC